ATATATATATATATATATACATACACACACACACAAACATACCAGTAGAAAATTGACAATGGATATAAAAAGATTTTTTACCAACTAGAGTATGCAGATGGCAAATAAGCAAGTGCAAATTTAAAGCACAACGAGATATCACTACACATCTAAATTTGGTGCTGTCGAATTGGTTCCAACTCATAGTGACCTTGTGTAAAGCAGGATGAAACAGTGTCTTGTCCTGCACCATCCTCACAATCATTCCTATGTTTGTTTTCTGGCCATTGTTTCAGCCATTTTGTCAATTCATTTCTTTGAGGGTCTTCCTCTGTTTCACTGACCCTCTACTTTATCAAGCATGATGTCCTTCTCCAGGGACTGGTCCCTCTTTATAGCATGTCCAAAATATGGCATATGATCAAGAACTCACGGCACTGAAGGAAGAAGTCCAAGCCACACTGAAGGAAGAAGTCCAAGCTGCACTGAAAGAACTGGTGAAAAACAAGGCTTCAGGAATTGATAGACTACCCACCAAGATGTTTCAATAAACAGAGGCTATGGTGGAGGCACTTACTCACTTACGCCAAGAAATTTGGAAGACAGCTACCTGGCCATCTGACTGGAAGAGATTGATAATTGTGTCCCTTCTAAAGAAAAGAGATCCAACTGAATGTGGAAATTATCAAGCAACATCATTAAAATCATTTTCAAGTAAAATTTTGCTCAAGATAATTCAAAAATGGCTGCAGCAGTATATTGACAGGGAAGTGCCAGAGATTCAAGCTGGATTCAGAAACCATGGGGGCGGGTGCTGTGACTTTAAGGGTTGTGTGTGTGTGTGTGTGTGGGGGGGGTGAGATCAAAAAGCATAGAAAGACAGAAAAAAAGAGTGAAGAAGAGAAAACTAAAGAAAAGAGAGAAGAAAACAAGAGGGAGGAGAAGGAAGAACTAGGAAGAAGGAAAGATAAATAAATAAAGAAAAGTAGCACAGTCCTGGCAAAAGTGCTAGCAACCAAACACAGCTGTGCAGGAATGTACTGAGTTCTCCATTGGAGGGCCTGCCTTCTACCATGGGGTGGGGTGGGGGGGCAAGCACTGCTAACCTCCTGGGCAGTAGGAAATGGGCTCCCATTCTTCTGGATCAAAAAAAGAAGAAGAAGAAGAAAAATGCCAAGGGATGAGGAAGGAATAAAGAGGAAAGGAAAAAAGAAAAGGAAAAGGAGGGCAGAAGAACTAAGCAGAAAGATAAAGGGAAAAAAAAAAACGACACAGTGCTCGTAGTGGGTAGAGTTTGGCTAGCACCACACAAGTGGTGGTGGGGAGGGCCACGGCTCTGGTCACTGGGAGGTTGAAAAAAGTAAATGGGGAGTACATACCTCTCTGGTCACCTGATCACGGATGTGGGTGCCACAGCAGTCCTGGACAAGTGGAGCTGGTTATCTGGTTCCTGCTCTGATCAGAATGCTGCTAGCAATAACTCAAAATGGCTTCACTGTGCCCGTTGGCAGTTTACCATTCCTTGTTCACTGTTTTCTTTCAGTATCTTCCTCTCACTGGTATTTTATCCATATCTTTAGTCATTCCTCTGAAGCTCTGGAATCTACCAATGACATCCATAGCCATTTCCCTTGTTTTTATCAGTCTTTGTTGTGAAGGACCTGGAGAGTGTTCTGCCCAGCCCACCATCTTGAATCCTCCTTGGCTAATATTTTTGTACCAGGATGTTTATTTCAGCATAATTTGTCTTAGTAGAAAATTGGAAACAAACTCAAACTATAAAAGTGCAAAATTGCTAAATTAAAATACCCATACAATGGAATATGCAACCATTAAATAATAGGGAATCTTTAATAGATACTTTGAAGGTAAACAAAGCAAGGCACAGAATGGAGTGCATAGGTTTATCTGAAAACATGTGTGTGTTTGTGTGAGTGTATGTGTGTGCGTGAATAAACACACACAATAGAAGTAATTGCCTCTCTGAATGAAAGCTATGATACTTAAGAAAGTAAAACTTACTTTTACTGTATATTAATTCCATGCATGACATGTTTATCATTTTCATGGACAATAAACACACACACACAGTGACTTTTGAGTTTCTCTGAGGTCCTTAAATGAAGAGCTATTTTTTTCTTCCCCGTGCCACACTCTTCCCTCCCTCTTTTATACGATCTTTCAAGTTTGTGACCTCAGAACACTTGGTCTCTTTTTTCTGTAGCCAGGCATAAAATTATTCATAGAAATGGATTTCTTAACTTATGTTCCCATTTATCTGCATATTGTAGTAAAGAGGTTTCTAGACATATCCATAATCGATTTGATTCTCTCTCATTTTTTTTCAGAGCTTTGAGGTTTTATATGATAAGATTCTTATGTTCTTTAAAGAGAAACATAATCCTTTACACCTACCACTGGTTCAACTAACTCGTAACTTCTGGTAACAGCTTAGCTTGAAGATCATTCAAAGTACAATGAAATAATTAAAAGGGCACCAAGAGAAGGCTTTTCTGAATATTGCTTTAAACGTCATATGCACTAATGCTCTCCAAATATAAATACTATTCTTGCTTTTTTTTTTTTTTTTCTTTGTAGGTGACATGAAGTGGGTACTCTGAGATTGCACGTGTGGCCATGAGGTGGCAGTGGTTCTATTTTTTTCATTACACAAATACCTTAAATTTTAAAAGAATGAATACTCAAGGCTTTTATTGATTGGCTGAGTTGCCAACAGAAAGGTTCTCTTGTGCTTTGGAAAATAGGAACTAAGACACAGAAACAGCTACTCTGAGAAGAGAAGATTTCACATCACAAATTGTATCAAGACTGAGATATCAGGATGGAGAAGATGCTGGGATACACATTAATAGTCTTGTGCCTTCAGTTTGGCTGTAAGTTGGAAATTATCATTGCTGTTAGGTGCCTTGCAGTCAATTTTTGCCTCAGGTGACTTCATGTGACAGAGTTTCCCATAGGGTAGCCCCTACAGTAGCCCCATAGGGTTTTCTTGACTGTAATATTTATGGAAGCAGATCTCCAGGCTTTTTCCTATAGAGCTGCTAGATGGACTTGAATTACCAGTCTTTCAGTTGGGCTCACCAAGGCTCTTTAAATTAGAGTTTAAGAGATGAGAACTCTGTGGGCACATTCATCCAAAACTGAAGAAAAGAGATAGGGTCTCAGCTCATTTTGATGTTTTCAAAACTGTTGAACTAAAAGCTTTGTGTCATTTCTCATTTTTTTTTTTTTTTTTTCCTGATCAGGGTCAAGTGGAGAAGACCAAGTGGTACAGAGTCCTCAGGCACTGATACTCCAGGAGGGAGACAACTCCAGCCTCAACTGCAGTTACTCAGTCAGCAGTTTTAGTAGCTTACAGTGGTATAAGGAAGATTCTGGGAAAGGTCCTGAATTCCTCTTCCTCCTGTATTCAGTTGGGGATGAAAAGCCGAATGAGAGGTTTAGAATCATGCTATCAAAAAAGGGAAATTCCCTGCACATTACAGACTCTAACCCTGAAGACCCATCCACTTACCTCTGTGCTGTGGTCACGGTGATCCCCAAGCACCTGCAGCCTATATCAGAATTGACAACTGGGGTGCTGGAATAAATGGCACAGGCATCTCTGTCTTTTCTCATCAGACAAAGGAGTGTTTTACTCAGCACCTAGATCCTCTTACCCAGAAGTCCTATGGCGAAAAGGATCATGGCATAGACAAAGAGCAAAGGTGTGTAAATGCACATTACTGTTCTTTCTGTCTATGTGCATCACATTAATGAGAGTTCCAGTTACTCCATATCTTCATCAACAAATAGTATCAGGTTTTTGTTTGCTTGTTTGTTTAATTTAAGCCATTCTGGTGAAATATAATGCTATCTCATTGTGTTTTAACGTGCTTTCTCCGAACAAAAATGATGCAAGCACTTTTTCATGTATTTATTGACTATCTGGATATTTTTTTCTCTTCAATGCCTGTTCAGGTTTTTTGCTTATGTTTTAGTTGGGATATTGTCTATTCATTGTTCGTTTGTAGGTGCTCTTTGTATATTATGGATATGAAAACATAGATTATGAAGTTTTCACTAATCTGTTGCTTGAGTATTCACTTTTTAAAATTATGTCATTTAATGTACTTACTCTGATAATGTACTTTAATGTACTTGCTCTGGTAACATAGTGCCTAAGGCACTTGACTGCTAACCAGAAGCCTGGTGGTTTAAACGCACTAGCCACTCCTCAGAAGGAAGATGGGGCAATCTACTTCCGTAGTGATACCGCCTCAGAAACCCAAGGAGGGGTCGCTATGAGTGGGGGCCGACTTGATGACACATAACAACAGCAACAATGTACTTACACTCCTAATTTTAATAAAGTTTAATCAATCAATTTTTTTATTCATTTATGGTTAGTATGTTTTCTGTCCTGTTAACAATCCTAGCCTACTCTATGGCATGAACATGTTTCTTTCATTAGGTTCATATTCCACTTTAAATCAATTTTTGTGGGGTGAAAAAGAGTTCATGGTTCATCTTTTTTTTTTTTTTTTTTTAACCAGAGAGATGTCCAATTGCTCCATGACCATTTAATGGAACAGCAACTTTCCTCCCTTGAATTACAGTGGCTTCTTTGCATAAATCAAGTGGTCATATATGTGTGGGTCTATTTCTGGGCTCTGTATTTTGTTTCATTTGTCTGCTGTATCTTGTATCTTGGTGAAAACAGTAGACTGATGCTCTGCTAGAAACTAAAACACAACGTTTATTGAAGAAACAGAATAATTTTGAAATGGGGAGACATACAGACAACATAAAAATGTTGCAATGTATAGAGTTGCAGGGAGAAAAGTAAGGGCTTAAGCAGATGTAGCAAACAAAGGATTTGTGCACTCAGGCGGTGTAGGGGAGGAGAAGGAAGCATGACAAAAGTTACAAAGCATTTGTAAAACTACAAACTTGTACATTATTGATAAGGTTAATTGTTGCATCCTGAAGTTGTTGCAACCTGAGAGTTGTTTAACAAAGCATTCTGTCACATCTGCAGTCTGTCTCCTTATTTTAACGAACTTAGTCTCTCCCTTAGTTACAAAGTTAGGACTAGTAGTGTCTGAACGAGTTCTGAAATAGTAACTGGAGATTCAGTTGCATTCAGAGAGAAACTTAATAAGAGAGTACTAATGTTGCAAGGGAGCTCTGCTTGCAGAGTGTCTAAGGCACTTGACTGCTAACCAGAAGACTGTGGTTCAAACCCACCAGCCATTCCTTGGAAGGAAGGTTGGGCAATGTACTTCCGTAGAGATACCGCCTCGGAAACCCAAGGAGGGGTCTGTTATGAGTCGGGGACGACTAGACCGCACATAACAACAACAACAACCCAAGGAGGGGTGGCTATGAGTCAGATCCGACTGGACCGCAGTGGGTTTTTCTTTTCTTTCTTTCTTTTTTTTTTTTTTTTTCCCGACTGTTACTAAGTGAAATTAGTAAGATGGAGATGGATTGACACGGTGGCTGCGATGATGGGCTCAAGTATAGCAGGGATCATGGAGCTGGCGTGGGATCGGGCAGTGTTTCATTCTGCTGTGCATGGGGTAGCTATGGGTCGGGAACGACTCCACGACACCTAACAACAACAACAAGTGAAATTGGGCGAAGTTAGTATAAAGTATAAAACAAATATTCTTGTCACAATAAATGTTCTCCCAAGGTACTATCTGCACTACTACAGTGAAAACCAAACCAAACTCACTGCAGTGGACAGCAACCCCTCCTTGGGTTTCCAAGGCGGTATCACTACGGAAGTAGATTACCCAACCTGTAGATTGCCCAACCTTCCTTCCGAGGAGTGGTTAGTTGGTGGTTGTTTGCCATCGAGTCGGCCCCGACTCATAGCGACCCCTCCTTGGGTTTCCGAGGCAGTATCACTACGGAAGTAGATTGCCCAACCTTCCTTCCGAGGAGTAGCTGGTGGGTTTGAACCGCCAGCCTTCTGGTGAGTAGTCAAGTGCCTTAGGCACTATGCTACCAGAGCTCCGAGGAGTGGGCTAGTAAAAACAGAGTGGAAAGTCCTCATGATTGAAACTTTGTGAGTCAGGACGTGAACTAAGACTTTACATATATACCCATTTTAGCCACAGAACAACAACAACTTCTTTTAACATTATCAGTTCTATTTCTCACCCTCCTGCTGACCGAATTGCCTTCGCTGGGGCCAGCTGCACACACATTCTTAACAGACACTAAATAATTCTTTATCCAGGTTAGAAATCCTGACTTTGCCTTTGTATTTCAAGCGGTAAATCTCTTGATGAAATGGGTAGTTTCTTTAGAAAAGCAGAAATGAAAACCTTAGTTTAATTCAAAATGAAGTTTTAATTTAGGTCTGAAGTCACCCTTCAGATATGCTAGTACCTCCGTTCCCCTCCCCCCCACTATAGTTAATTAGTCCATCATTCCACCTGTATTTACAATGTGCTCATAAATGTAGCTTTATGTATGATTTTCCTTCATTTTTATTCTTTCTACTCATATTGTCATTCTGGGTCTTTTATGATGCCTTACCAATTTTTAGAATTTTCAATTTTTATAAAATTTTAGCTACAGTTTTGACACCACTACCTCCGTGCCTTAAATAGATTAAATCTATGGATATATTTCAGGAAAATTGATAGCAATTTGAGCCTTCATGCCATAAACAGAGTGTCACTCCACTTACTTGGGTCATCTTTAATTTCTCTAAGAAATCATTTTAACTCTCAGTGTAGTGATCTTGTGTATCCTAGTCTGAATGACTCCATGTGTAAAAATTCCATGCTATTTTAAACTTTTATTTTCCAATTGTTTCTAATGTATATTGACCTTGCATCCAGCTTTTTCAATTTACTTGTTACATCTAATGATTTATGGATTCTTTTTGAATTTCTACATCCATACCTATGTCATCTGCAAATACCCACTGCCATCTAGTCAATTCCCACTCATAGCGACCCCTATTGGTTTTCAAGGTGATAAATCCTTACAGAAGCAGATTGCTTGGTATTCCTTCCACAGAGTGGCTGGTGGGTTTGAACTGTCAGTCTTCTAGTTACCAGTCAAATGCCTCAGGAATTGTGCCACTGGAGCTCCTTCATCTGTAAATAGACAGTTTTATTAAGTGCTCTTTCATCTGGTTTTGTTCTACTTTAACTCTTCGGGCTTACTGCCTTACAGTCTTTCCTGTGTATGACACATGCATTCAGGGGAGGAGATCAGAAACTTATCACAGGATTCTTGGTTTCACGTGCCCTCATTTTGTTTTTCTTATCAACCTCATTTTCATCTTCATTTACTGAGCCCTTGACATAGCCAAGTTCAGTGCTCAGCACTCTACATAAACATTTAATAATTCATTAACTCTTAAGTAATATTATCCCATTTCTCAGATGAGAAAACTGAGGATATTAGCAAATTTTGAGATGAAGGAATTTCTGAAATAAAGTAAATGCTGCAGTCACCATAAAGTGACATTAAAAATTAAATTCTTTCCAGAGTTAAGTCAATTGGACAATACTTCTCAAATTTTACTGTATATTTAAGAATCCTATACACAATTTATTTTAAAAAAATTTTTCATCTTGAAAGATTCTAATTCAGTAGGTCTGGCAAGTGGCCAGGAGTCTGCTTTTTAAATAAGTTATCTAATGGTTTTAGTCCAATCAATTGGGAAATATTACTTTGAAAAACTCTAACAGGGAGACTGCTATCTTTCAGGGGGATGGTTTGATACAGATCTGCAAGTGATTGTGTGTTAATTTAGACGGGGTGCCTAGGGAAAAGAAACTTACTCAGGGATGCCTTAAAACAAAGAATGCCTTATTTCTAATGTGAGACTATCTCTTATTCTGATTAGTAGGACTCTCTTGTTTTAATGATTTAAAGGTAATGAATTTTTTTTTTTTTTTCAACCAACAACAGAAGCAATTGTATTCATGATTTGAAAAGTAGCAGGGAGGAGGAGAGGACAGACTAGCCTTTCAATGATAGACTTCTGAAACAAAATGTAGGCCAGAACAATTATCCTATATCGAGGAATGATTTTCATTCTTTAATTAAAAAATAGACATATATATATGCCATATGTTTATGTTTATTTTTTAATTAAAGAATGAAAATCATTCCTCGATATAGGATAATTGTTCTGGCCATGGGAGCTCTGGTAGCATAGTGGCTAAGACACTTGCCTGCTAACCAGACAGCTGGTGGTTCAAACCCACCAGCCACTCCTCGGAAGGAAGGTTGGGCAATCCTACTTCCGTAGTGATACTGCCTCGGAAACCCAAGGAGGGGTCGCCATGAGTCGGGGCGACTCGACGGCACATAACAACAACAACAACATATATGCCATAATTCAATAATCCCTTAATATTTCCCCCTCTATTCTAAGATTTACACGTTTTATTTAATTATTTAAATTATACATTACTATCTCTCTGGTGTCTTCACAACGTTTTAGCCTTTAGAGTAAGAAAAACTGATTACAACATTGATAAAGCTCTGCTTATTGCAGAATAGAACACAATAACCTTCTAACTCCTCCCTTTATAGTTCTCATAATAATTTTCGGTATAGACCACACTA